GGGGACACTGAGCTGGGCTGCAGCCTGAGACTGAGATGCCCAGAGGAGCCTGGCTTGGGAGCCTACATAACCTGGCTCAGGACCTCCCTCTCTCTTTTCCTTGAACAGAGCAGATCCCGCATGACAGCATGGCCCCAGGGGGGACACTGGGACTCTCTCTCTTACTATGTCCCTGCACCGGCTTCTCTGGGCCTGGGGGTGGGGGAGGTGTGGCTGTTCCTCCCATCCACAGGACGGAACTGAGATGGGAGTGTGGGATTTGGGGAGGGGGTCTCCCCGTCTGCCTGTGCCTCAGGGACTGGTAACATTAAAAGGCGGAGGGGGAGAAAGAGAAAAAGAACAACCCTATCCCAGTTTTGGAAAAGTCATCTTGACACCAACAATAGGGCACAGACTCTAGAATTTAATCAATTCACTTTAGAGAAAAAGCCATGGAGCAGACACCATGCACTGAGTCCATGTTTTGTTTTTTTTTTCCCTACTAGAACCTCCACTGGGTGGATCACACAGGATTTCCCCAGATAGGACCTTGGCTCCATCCCTCACCTCCTTCTGCCTTCCCTGGCCATCTTCCTCAAACTGCAACCCTCTCAGCTCTCCCTGTCTCATCTTTCTCTGTCTCTTTCTGTCACAATGCCCAACCCCCTGCCACAGGACATATGTCAGAGCTGTCTTCTCCCCAGCAAAAATCAACTCCATGAAGACAGGAATTTACGTGCGTTTTGGTCCTGACTATATCCCCTGGGCCTAGCATAGTGCCTGGCACATGGCTGGTGCATTAAAAGTATTTGACGGATGACTAAATGAGAGCCTGCTCACAAGGGCAACTGTCCGCTCATCAGTCACTTACTAAACAGCATGGAAACTAAAACACCAAAGCCCTTTCTTTCATTAAAAAACAACAACAACAAAATTCAAGATAGGCGCTTCCCCTTTATAAACAGGAAAGTGGCCCCCCTAATCAGTACAAGGCCTCACTGGGTGTAGTCAGCGGGGGCCAAGGGAGCACCCCAGCCTGTTCCAGCCCTGGCAGGATGCCCAGCCCTGCACTCCTGACTCCCAGGGAGAAAGAGATGTGAGCTCTCTGGTAGTGGGGACCCGTGCCAGCTCATCTCCAGGGAAGACCTTTGAAGCTTGAGTTGTTTCCAGGCTTCAGAAACACTGCTTACTTAAATTGCTTAAGTCAGGAAACAATGGTTGGCCTGCAAACTCAGTATGGTCTTTTCTTGAATAAAGATGTTTTTATAAACTGAGGGAGATGATTCAGTGAAACTTCCAGGCTTTCTCTTTAAGGTGCAACAAATTAACCCTCAATAAAAACAGGCAGGCAAGCCTCCAAGGGCTTTACGAGCCTTAACTCGTTTAACCATCCAAAGAGCCCAGGAGGCTGGTTACTGCCACTGCCATCCCCACTTGCTAGAGGGGGCAACCGAGGCACAGAGAGGCCAAGCAGGTGACCACAGAAGGCCTCAGAGACTAGGTGATGCTGAGTTGAGTCTGGACAGAAGTGAGGAAGCAATGCTGGAAATACAGAGTTGGGTCAGGCCTTGCAAATCCCTCCCCCGCCCCCCCCAAAAGGAGCTGTCATCCTGGGGGCTGGGGTGGGGGGGTGGACATCTGGGCAAACAGAGGATCTTAATTAATCCAGTGTGGGAAGAGCTGAGACCAAGCCCAAGGGGCTGCGGGAGGGCCCAAGGACACATCAGAGTAGCCTAAAGGGATGAGGCGGTGACGTCATAGAATCCTTTAGCCCTATTGCAATCGATGAGATGGGAACTAGGCAGGACAAGGGAGGGATGGAGCAGAGGTGGGAGGGTGGAGCTGGAAAGGCACCCAGGCAGAAGGCACAGCAGGGGCAAAGGCCCAAGGCAAGCAGCAGTCTGGTCTGTCAGGAAAGTCTGAGCAGCTTGGAGCTGCGGAGGAACCAAAGAGGGGTGATGGAAGGCCAGGGGGCCAGGGCTGGACTACACAGAGGCCTGAGCATCAGGCTGAGGGACTGGGACTTTGACCTCCGGGAGCTGGGGAAAAATGGGATGATGGTGGGGGCACAGGGTCAGCCCTGGGGGTAGGAAGCCCCCTCCAACTCCAAGGCTGGGAAGGGATGAACTGGAGGGGAGAGACGGGGGAACTGGGGAGGAGACAACACTGAGCGTTCTGGTAGAAGAGGAAGCCTGAACCGCTGGAGAAGAGGGAGCAGGGCAGAGAGATGGAGAGGGCAGAAGGCACCCGGCTGAGAAATGACAGGCTGTGGAGGTGAAGGAAGGAGGCTGGGGTGGTGCCCCAGGTTTGGCCGGATGCTTAGGGAGTTGGCACTGTTTGAATCACTTTTTTTCTGAATAAGGGACATCAACAAACACATCCAGTGAGACACCCTGGGGCACTGTGGGAGGGGCGGGCAGCGCCAACACTTTGGGAAAAGGACAGGAATTCATATAAGAAGGAATCCACACTTCCACATTCAGCACAAACACCAGAGACACCCATGTGTCAGGTCCTGTGCTGGGCAATGCTGGGACCTAAGAAAACATTAGTCACTCAGTCTTGTCCGATTCTTTGCAACGCCATGGACTGTAGCCTGCCAGGCTCCTCTGTCCATGGAATTCTCCAGGCAAGAATACTGGAGTGGGTAGCCATTCCCTTCTCCAGGGGATCCTCCCAACTCAGGGATCGAACCCAGGTCTCTAGCACTGCAGGCAGATTCTTCACCATCTGAGCCACCAGGAAAGCCCAAGCTGAGACCTAGAGCTGGGTCAAATGTGAGCCTGTCTGATGGGTCAGACAGGCATCTCAGACCAGGGACTAGCACTAGCGCTGAGGGAGGCTATGAGAGCCCAAAGGGACAGTCAGAGTGGGGAGGACACCAGGAGAATTGGGTCGCAGGATCCTAAAACAAGCTTGCCCCCCAAATGGTGGAGGCAACTCCCTTGTCACATGGTGCCAGAGCTGTCATTAGGCCAAATGGGTGTCAGGTGGAAATGAGAGGAAGCCCTGGCTACCTTTTGATCCTGACTGCTGCTGCCCCGCCGGGTGATCCGACCACCAACAGAACCTCCATGGGCCTGTGTCCTCACCTGTCCAATGGGATTCGTAATATCTAGATGGTAATGAAAGGACTGAATCAGTTCATCTCCGTCAAGAACTAAGAACGCTGCCTAGTGCATAGCAAGGACCCACTTAACGTGAGCTGTCAACAATTACTGAAGTTTTCATGCGGGGACAGGCTTCCAGGCCCTGTGTTGGGCAATGCTGGGGACACAGAGGTGTACTCAGTTGTACTGATGGGGGTGGGGAGGTGGGGACAGACGTGGATGGACAGTCACTGCCTTCAGTCTGGTTCAGGCCAGCTATTGAGACAAAGTGGCTTTTGTCTGAGGGCGTCTCTCTGATTTACCTCTGTCCAGACCAGCTTTTCTGGGGACAAGCCCGGTCCTCAGGGACTCTGCCCTCCACCCCTTCTGGTGGAGGCTGTAAGCATTTCCATCAGCTTGTCAGATTGGTTTTCATCTTTAGCAAACCATTCCCCTTCCGAGCTAGAGCCTCCTCGCTTGCCCTGGGGCTGGATAGCTTCTAGGTTCCCAGAGGACTTCCATTATAGCACATTGCCTGTGCCCAACACTCCTCTGAGTGTGCAACGTAACCGAGCGAGTGACATCCTGGCTCGTGTTCAAAGGCACTAACTGGGGTAAGGAGTCAGCGGGACCTGGCTGGGAATCCCGGCTCAGCCTCTTCTCAGCCGAGTGGGCTCTCTGTGACTGTTTCTTCGTGCGTTAGAGGCCACGGCTCTTCCAGCAGGTAAGAAACAGAGACGGTAACTCGGCCCGCACACAGTTCTCAAGACACTGAGTATAGAAATGGCGGAAGGGGGACGGGGTCATGACCCCAGAAGGGCTGGGTTTAAATGAACCAGGATGGGTTCTGACAGGAAGCTCACAACCTCTCTGTTCGGTGATCTCCGCCCTCAGATGTGACTTTGACGTTTGGGAGAGCGGCAGACACGGGAGGTACCAGAAGACCCTCATACAGTGGGCGCTCGTGACCCCGGAAGTACACGACCGCAGGGTTCAGGGAGGTGGGAGAGGAGGGGGGGGGCCCGGTCACCTTCACCGCGAAGTCGATGACCCTCTTGACAGCCACGAGCGCACGCAGCTCCGCCATCTTCCCGCCGCGGCGACCCGCTGGGTCCGAACTCACCTTCCGCCTCCCTGACCGCTCGCCCCGCCCCCCTGCCCTCCTCTGCGCCTGCGCCCCGTGCCGCCAGCCAGCCAACCGCGGCGGCGCTCGCCTCCCCCGCCCCGACAGAGGACCAATCGGGAGGCCGAGAGGCAGAGTCGCCAGCAGACGCGGACCAATGGGAAGCGGCCCCTGGGGAGGGAGGCGGAACCCGGAGTGGAAGGGAAAGAGCTTCTGGAAGGGGGCGTGGCCGGGAACTGGGGGAAAGGTCTTGGCCGGGAACTGGGGGGAAGGTCTTGCCCGGGAGGGAGGCGTCCCAAACTTTTTTCCCCAAAGCCCTCGAGGGTCGGCTCCCTCCCCGAGGTCCCCACCTCTTACTCTCCCTCTCTAGAGTGGTGAGAGCGGACGTGCTCATGTCCCCGAGCCTCTAAGTCCGCAGGTGTCCGCGCCCCTCCGTTCTCTCCACGCTCGTATTCCTCATCCCCTCCACGATCGCACCTCTGCGTTCCCTCCGGTCCGTCCTCCCCCGCCCCCGCCTCCACTTTCCCCGCAAGTCTGCGTCCCTACCTCTTCTCCACGCACCCCCTTGTCCCCTCCTGATTCCACAACCCCCGTGTACCTGTTCCCATCAAAACCCATGTCCTTGGTCCTACCCACGTCGGAATCTCTCTGCGTCCCCCACGTCTCCACTTTCCCTGTAGGTTCGAGTCCTTACTTCCTCCCTGAGCCTCCAGGTACCCCATGCGCGCATCCTCGGGTCCCCCAGAAAGTCACTTGGAGCCAGCTGGCAGTGGGATCCGTTCCTTTATTCTGCCCCCAGGCAGCTGCGGTCATAAGCACACGGGGAATCCACTGATGGCATCCGTGCTCTGCATGATCATGTCCGCCAGCAGAAAGCAGAAGCCTGGCGGGAAGGGGAACGGAGGGCGGGTGGAGCAGGGTGGGTCCTGGGGCAGATGACCAGGAGGGCCCCGGGGACTGGGGTTTGGGGCTCCAAGGGCCCAGAGTGGAGGGTGTTAGGAAGTCCCTGGGAGGGCAGCTGGGAAGTCTCTGCTAGGAGGGGGCTGGGGCCCTCGGGGAAGTCCCCTCTCCACCCTCTTCCGCTGCCCATGTTACCCGCGAGAATAGAGAAGGGTAAAGCCAGCCACCCCAAAAAATAGGACCAGGAATAGAAGACATCGTCTTTCCATGCATTCTTCACTGTGTAGACTGTCAGGGCGATCAGCAGAAGCAGGCCTGGGCCCCACCCCGCAGCTAGGTGAGCGTGGCCTGGGGGCTGCACCCAGGCCCCACCCTGACCGCGCCCACCGCCCCCAGCCACGCCCTTCTCGCTCACCCTCCGGCCCTCTTCTTCCCGACCCCGCCCCTGGCCCCTCCCCCTCGAAGCCTGTCCTCCGGAGCCCCGCCCCGCTCCTGGGCTCTCTCTCCCAGGCCCACCCTGTGCCATCTCACCCGAGATAAAGAAGACGGAACACGTGGTCTGACCCCGAGAGTAGCCCTCATTGCACAGAATCCGCAGCCCCATCACGAAGCCCACGAAGCCGCAGCCCGCCGCCAGCACCATGCACCCCCCGGTCACCGTCAGCCTGCCTGGGGAGAGCGGACCGCGTCAACAAGCTCCGCTGGCGCCGCTCCTACCAATCACCCCCACCCGCCGGTTCCGGGCTGGGAGCAGAGTCAGGGGTTTGGATGGGGACTCGGAAGTTACATCATGAGGGGAGGTTAATGTTGCAACAGGGAAGCAGGTCCCAGAGTGGGGGTTCGTGGTGGCCTCGGTCAAGGAGGGGCTGAAGTGGAAAGAGCAGGGGGGTGGGGGCGCTGCAGGATGTGGTGTCAGGTGAGGGGGCAGCTGCGGTCAGTGCTGGGGGCTGTCTGTTCACGGAGGGCAGGGGTCTGACAGCTGGGCCGCCGGGCCTCACTATCGCAGGGGATGTTGGAGCAGACGCCCTTGTTACACTCCTGCCAAAGGCCGCTGTGGCCCCCGGAGTAGCGGATCCAGTAGTTGGAGGCACTGGACAGAATGATGAAGAAGTTGGCCAAGAAGCCCAGCGTGGTGCCCCCGCTCTGAAGGCTCCGCTTCACCCCCATGCCGGGGCGACTGCTGCCAAGGACCACGCCTGCAAAGACTGACCCATGCCCCAGTCACCCTCAGGTCCCCGGGACCCCCTCCTGCATGTCCCTCCGTATCCCAGATAGCTACTCCTTCACCCCTGCCTGGGGCTTCTACTTCTGGGGACCCCTCTCAGCGCCGCCCCCCCCCCCCCCCACGCCGCCCCAGACCTAAGACGGACCACCTTCCCCTCAGGCACCACAGCTTAGGAACCTCCCCTCTGTCTGGAGACCTCTGTCTGCTAATGGGTGTGCCTTCCTAACACCCCACCTCTGTGCACACCCACCTAAATGACTCACCCCCAGCTCCCTCAGGCTTCTTGGACAGGGCCCAGAGGTGTGAGAGAAGGAAGACTCTGTCTCTATGAGGCAGAATTCCAGAACCCCACCCCCTCTCCTAGCAGCCGTTTAAAGAGATAACCACTCACCCAGCCATACACACACATACACAGGGGCAGCTCTTCTGGCAAAGTGACAGAGTCAGTGTCAGGTGGCAAGTCCGGAGGAGCCTGAGGGCCTTGACACGGTAGCCCATGTCCTTCTAGAAACTTCCCTTCCTTTGACCCCCAGAAGCCCTCCTGGTCCCCAGCTCTTTGTGCCCTCCCAAGCCCCCAGACAGCCTCCTGCCCCTCCTCCTCCCTCTGCTTCTCACAGCCTGTTCTCCTGGAGAACTCCAATTGCATCTTCTTACCAGGTGAGCTCCAGGGATGTCTGATGCTCTGAGAGCATCCCAAACCCAATCTCCAGTCCGGGTCCTCGTCTGCTTCCGACCATCTCTCAGACCCTGACCCTCAACCACATCCCCACTGAGCTAGGCATGCGAGCGTGCTGTGGCTCATTCATATCTGACTCTGTGACCGCGTGGACTGTAGCCCACCAGGCTCCTCTGTCCGTGGGACTTTCCAGGCAAGAATACTGGAGTGGGTTGCATTTCCTCCTCCAGGGGATCTTCCTCACCCAGGGATAGAACCAGAGTTTCCTGCATATCCTGCACTGGCAGGCAGATTTTTTTTTTTTAAACCACTGAGCAACCTGGGAAGCCCCATTGAGCTCAGCATCTTCCACCAAATCAGGGAGGCCCCTGACATCCCACCCAGTCAGTTGGACCACACCCCTGGGCACTATCCTTGTCGCCTTCCTGCTCCTTGCCCTACAAAGCCCTTGGATCCCTGAGTCCAGTTCCTCCTAGACTTATTTACTTCTCTGTTGCACTGGGTCTCCGGTGCTGTGCTCAGGCTTTCTCTAGTTGCTGCGAGCAGGGGCTACACTTTGATGCGGTGTCCTGGCTTCTCACTGCAGTGACTTCTCTTGTAGCAGAGCACAGATTCTAAGCACACGGGCTTCAGGAGTTACAGCGTGCAGGCTCGGTAGTTGTGGCTCGTGGGCCCAGTTGCTCCAAGGCATGTGGAATCTTCCTGGACCGGGGATCGAACCTATGTCCCCTGTATTGGCAGGCAGGTTCCTATCCACTTCTCCGCCAGGGAAGTCCTTCCCCCACGCCCCGAATCTTTCTGGCTCCTCCTTTCCCTCTTGTGCCCTGGCCCCAGTGCAGCCTTGTCCTGTCTCATGTCCCTCCTATTGGATTGCCAGTCTTTTTTCTGGCCCCTTCTGGCCCCCAGAGTGGAGGGGAGGGCGCAGAGTGGGGGCTTTCTGGCACTCCCCTCCACCCTTAGCTCCCATCACCCTCAAGAGAGAGTCAACTGTGGGCTTAGAGGCACTACTTCTCACCTATCCTCACTTCCTGTCATCCCCTCACATTCGACAGTGGACCACAAAGTGCTGCTCCCCATCTTCTGAGAACTCCCAGCCTCTCCCTGCCTCTACTCGGGTGTCCCTCTGCCTGCATTACCTTCCCGCCGCCCTGGAGAAGTTCCTAAACACAGTCTCCCCAGAAAGCTCAACCCCACACCCCACCTCTCCCCCAGACATAGCCAGTCCTCCTGCCACACCGGCCCTGGGCTCTGCCTGCCCCTACAGGACTTGGAGCCCCTGGCAGGCAGGACCTGGTCTGAGTCACCTCGGCATCCACGGTGGAAGGCCCAGCAGAAAGGAAGCACCCAGGAAAAGCCAGGCGAAAGAGTGGATTTATTAATGAAGTGAACAAGGACTGAGGATGAACGCCAGGGTGACTAAATCAGAGAGGGAGCCGAAAGACAAGAACTAAAAGGAGGAAGATACAGGGAAGACCTCCCTGTTGGCCTGGGGATTAAGACTCTGTGCTTCCACTCCAGGGGGAGCAGGTTCAATCCCTGGTCCAGGAAGTTTGCATGCCATGCAGCAAAAAAAAAAAAGACACAGGGAAGAAGAGAGATGGAAGGACAAAGAAAAGAGACAACAAGGGCCCTGGGGCCATGCCTGAGCCTAGACTGGTCCCCACACTGGGTGGGAGCTCCTGGAGGGCAGGGCAGGTGGCAGGACTGACTCCCCTCTGCGTGCCCAGCGTCACCCACCACAGAACTGGCATATCATCGGTTTATGTCACGGCTTCATGACCCTTGGAAAAACCAGATCCCGGCAAATTTTTGTTGAATGAATGAAGCCACAAAGGAAGAAGCCTGTGGAGGCTGGGAGTCAGGGCTGGCTGGCTGGAAGGAGAGCCAGTTGTTGTTTTCAGGGTTCCTGATGATGCCTTCAGAGAGTGGAGCTCTAAGGCCATCCTGTGGTTCACATGGACTCGTAGCCGGGCCGGTGGGCCGTGCAGTGAGCACCCAGACTCAGGCCACCTGGGGTAGCAGAGAAAAGTTAGATACTTGCTCCTCTCCTGCTCCCTCAGAGCCCCCAGGCAGCGCCCCCAGCCAGGCCCCCCAGCCCCCACCCCAGCCCCAGCCAGCCCCTCTAGCCAGCCCCCCTAGCCAGGCCCCCCAGCCAGCGCCCCCCAAGTCAGCCTCAGAACTCCCCAGGCAGCAATCACAATCACCTGTACAGAGAAAGAGGAGGGTTGAAACCCAGCCCAGGTAGAAGGACCATGAGAAGAAGCTCTGGACCTGGGGGTTTCCAGGCTGGTTCCACCGCTCAATGGTGTAGACCATCATGGCCACTATCAGGGACAGCGCTGGGGACGGAGACACGAGGGTCGGCTCAGCCCCCCTGCAACAGCTCACCAGGTCCCAGCACACACCCCCATCCCCGCCCCCCAAGCCCAGCACGGAGTCCTCACCTCCAGCAAAGGCCATGAAGGTGGAGACAATGGGGCCACGTCCGGGGGCAGACAGCGAAGGGATGCAGGACATGACCAGAAAGGCCGTGGAGATCAGGCCCCACAGGACGGCCAGGATGCAGAAGCTCTGGGTCACGTGGATGTAGCCTGCTCGGAGATGGGACCTCTGACTGCCCGTCCCCGCAGGCCTTTCCCCCCACCTTTCCACCCCCCTCCACCTTACCTGCTACTGAGACTTGATCGCTGCTGGGCCAGAGGCCCGAATGAGATGAAGACTTGGGCCCCTGGGCCACAAACCAGAAATTCGTGCTCAGAGCCACTAAGAGGGACGCCAGGCCCAGGGAGCTGGTGAGGAGGGCCAGGGACCGGCAGGGCTCCATGGGGGTGAAGGTTGGGTTCCTGGGTCCCGGGTGACGATGACGAGGCTGGTGACCTAGATTCTTGGGTCTCTGAGAGAGGAGGAAGCTGTTTCCCCCTCCGCCCCAGACTTCTGGGTCCTCTGGTCTCAAGAAAGAGAAACCAGCAAGCGCTAGAGGTGGCTGGGGGGTGGTCTTTGCTTCTCAATGTCAGACCCGTTTGGTCTCAGCCTGTTCCAGGCAGCTGCTGTGTCACACACCCTGCCTTCCTGGCTTGCATCAACACCCGTCCCCCCAACCCCGCCCCTCTCTGAGGTTTCCCTCGCCCTGGACGGTAAGATGTCACATTGTCTCTGGTTTGAAACTTGTCTGTCTCCACGGAAGCCTCTCTACCTGCTGCCCTTGGGGGCCTCTGCACCAGAGGGGCTTCCTGGAAAAGGTGAGAGAGAGAGATGGGGGTTGAGGGGGTGGGGGGTGGGTAGAGGGGTGAACAGAGGGGGCACGCGGTGAGTGAGGCTGGGGTGTGAGTTAGATGGGAGGGGGAGGTGTGACTGGAGGGAGACAGCTGGGGGAATGCATCATGCTTTCCTGTGATTCTGCAACTTTCCGTTCTGGGAGGTGGGGGGGCCCAATTCTGGGGTCTCCGCAAAAAGAGGGGGCAGTTGGTGAGGATGCTGGGAACTGCAGGAGGAAGGTGCCAGAAGCCTAGACTCCAGGTGCTGAGCATGCGGACACTCAGACTCCCTGCTCCTTGCTTGGAGCTTGTGCTGGGTGGGGGCGGGGGGGAGACAAACAGTGACCACAGTTCTGAAAGTTTGCAGAGGGGAAGACGTGCCCACATCCTGATACAAGTGAGTTCACAAACAGCTCGGCCGAGAGTAAGGCGTTCAGCCTGGTGGGCTTCATCACTGGGGTCAGGGTTTCTGTGGTCAGGGTGGGGGGCGGGGAGGGGGGATGGGTAAAGGATGTCAGGGCAAGACTTTCCGGCCCTCCCCGCCTCAACCAGCGTCAGGCCCTGGGCCCCACCTCAGGCATAAGGGGACGGTGTCACAGCCCAGGGGGGAAGCGCAGACCCTAACCCTAACGCTGTGAAGCAGGAGTGACCCACAGGACTGCTGTCCCGAAGAGGAACTGAGCCGACAGTCCCAGGACAGCTGGCCAAGGGGAGAACAGGATTGACTGCAGGAGGCTGGTCCTCTTCCTTAGCTGGAGACTCCAGTTTGCAGAGTTTGGCCCCCATCTAGATCCTCTCCACCTGGGCAACTGGTCACTCCTGAGAACAAGCTCGGGAGGACAGGCTCCCGGAAGAAGATCCGGGTCATGGGCAGCTGGGGCACCATCTAAAAAGCAGTGGTGGACCCGGCTCCTGTGAGGAGCAGCTGGACAGGCTTCAGGAAGTCTGGGCTGAGAGCATGTGATGATCACATGCTCAGAACCCATCTGGGATCTTCTGTTTTTCCTCTTTTTCTCCCCACCACCTCTCTCCCATTTTCTCTTTTGGCCTTACTAAATGGTTTGTGGGATCTTAGTTCCCCAATCAGGGACTGAACCTGGGCCCCTGGCAGTGAGAGCACAGAGTCCTAACCACTGGACCACCAGGGAAATGTCCTCTGTGATCTCGACCCTATCCCAAACCCAACCTCATCCTGACTGCAGCTCCAATCCCATTTTTAGCCCCTTTCCTATCCTCCAACCCCATTCTCATTCCCAAACCTAACCACAAACTCAAGTCCATCTTTTCTTTTTGGCTGCACCCGAGGCTTGCAGGATCTTAGATCCCTGACCAGGGATTGAACCCAGGTCCCAGCAGTGAAAGTGCCGAATCCTAACCACTGGACCACCAGGGAATTCCCTCAATCCATCCTTAACCCCAATTTCAATCCCAAACTTCAGCTCCAACCCCAAACTCAACCCATCTCAAACCCCAAACATAACCCCATTCTCGTTCCCAAACCCAACTCTGTACTCAGCCTGATGACCAAACACAACCCATATTAAACCCCTGAGTTTAACCCCTACCCTCTCCTCCTACCTAACCCCTTTCTTAATCCCAAACCCAACCCCATCCCCAAACCCAAATGCATCCTCACATTTAACCCTCTTCTCATTTCTATACCTACACCAGTTCCACCCCTACTTCTTCATGCCTCTTCCCAACCCCAGTAATTCCACACCCTCCTCCATTTTTACCTTCATCCTACCTCCAGGTCCAAGCCACTGGAGGACTTAGAGCAGAAGGGGGACATGATATGAATCATGTTTTAATAAAAATTCCTTTAAAAGTCTAAAAACAAAGTTGCAGAAGGTGCAGAGAAAAAGGAGCCCTCTTAAACTGTTGGTAGGAGTGTAAATTGGTACAACCACTATGGAGAACAGTATGGGGTTCCTCAAAATACTAAAAATAGGACTTCCCTGGTGGCACAGTGAATGAGAACCCACCTACCAGTGTGGGGAATGTGAGTTCGATCCCTGGTCTGGGAAGATCCCACATGCCACGGAGCAACTAAGCCCATGTGTCGCAACTACTGAGTCTGCACTCGTTTGGGGAGATGTTTGTAGGAGTAGATGTGGGGCGTGAGAGAGATCAGGAGCTCAGCTTTAGACCGATATTTGAAAATTGAGTTGCTTCTTCAAGTAGGAATGTTGAGCAAGTGGTAGTTGGAGCTGTAAGTCTGAAGTTATAACATTATTGCTGTTACTAGAGTCATTGTTCTTCAGTTGTTAACTCATGTCCAGCTCTTTGTGACCATGAACTGCTGCACACCAGGCCTCCCTGTCCATCGCCAATTCCCGGAGTTTATTCAAACTCATGTCCATTAAGTCAGTGATGGCATCCAACCATCTCATCCTCTGTTGCCCCCCTTCTCCTTTTGCCCTCAATCTTTCCCAGCATCAGGATCTTTTCCAATAAGTCAGCTCTTCGAATTAGGTGGCCAGAGTATTGGAGCTTCAGCTTCATCATCAGTCCTTCGAATGAATATTCAGAGTTGATTTCCTTTAGGATTGACTGGTTTGATCTTGCAGTCCAAGGGACTCTCAAACGCCTTCTCCAGCACCACAGTTGGAAAGCATCAATTCTTCAGCGCTTAGTCTTCTTTCTGGTCCAGCTCTCACATTCGTACACAACTACTGGAAAAGCCATAGCTTTCAGCCCCTATAAATTCCTGGAGTAAGTCTCAGTAAATATTTCTACTTAAATAGGCTTCAATAAATTATAATTAAAGAAGACTTTGTGCTTGCTTTGGCAGCATATATTCTAAAGAAGAAAAGAGGAAGACTTCAATTGCTATAATTACTAGAGGAAGCCTCTATAAATACAGTATTACTGTTATTTGAGGAGGGCCTAATAAATATGTCTAGAGAGTAAGCCTCTATTAATATAACAGTTCCTAACATAGGCTGCAATAAATATTCTTATTATTGGAACTAGCTTTCTAAACAGTCTTATTGTTTTATGATAAGCATTAGTAAATCTCATGGCAGTAGGCGTGAGTTTGTTGAATGAACTAATGAATGAGTGAATGAAGAGAAGGTCAAGGTCAAGTTCATGAATGATGGATGAAGAGGCAGCTGCAGGAGGAGGTGCAGGTCAGAGTTCTAGTGTTTCTTCTTGGAGGGGCTCATCCAGGGAGGGCCAGGAAGTTGGGAGAACCAACTAGAGATAGCATGAGTAGGCAAGGAAATCGTTTTTTTTCATAGATTTTTTTTTGCTATGCTATGCAGCATGTGGGATCTTAGTTCCCCCACCAGGGATCAAACTCAGGCCCCCTGCATTGGAAGCTCAGAGTCTTAACCACTGGACCACCAGGAACGTCCTACTGATGTTTTCATTTATCCTATTATCCTCTTGTGATATTGTGATTTATAATAAATATATACTGGGTCTTTGTCCCCACTCTGGCATCCAGAAAAAAGAGGTAAGTTCTGGTGGCTCAGATGGTAAAGAATCTGCCTGCGATGTGGGAGACCCGGGGTCAACCTCTGGGTTGGGAAGATCCCCTGGAGAAGGGAATGGCTCCCACTCTAGTATTCTTGCCTGGGAAATCCCAGGGACAGAAGAGTCTGGCGAGCTACATTCCATGGGGTCACAAAGAGTCGAACACACTGAGCGACTAACACTTCCACTTTCACCTTTCTGGCATCCAGATCCTTAAAGTCTAAAATTTCCTAAACTGTGAGGGCAATCAAGGTGTCTCTTGTTATACTGATGTCCTGACTTTGAGACCAGCCCTCCTTAACCAGAGGGAGGGGGCTGGTTGCCAGGGAAACCAAGTACTCCGTTAGAGGGTCAGAACAGGCAGTTCCAACACCTGACCTCCTGGGAGGGAAGAGGAGTTGGAGACTGACTCAGTCACCAGTGGCCAGTGATGTTCTCCATCATAATTGTGTAATGAAGCCTCCGTAACAACCCAAAAGGAGAGGGTTCAGAGGGCTTCTGAGGTTGGTGAACTTGTGCTTTTGGTGGGAAGAGTGACCTACTTGGAGAGAGCATGAAAGTTTCGGGCCCCTTCCCGCTTACCTTGCCCTGGGCATCCCTTCCATCTGGATGTTCTGAGTTAGATTCTTTTATAACACACTGGTGACCTAGTAAGTAGAATGTATCTCTGAGTTCTGTGAGCTGCAGCAAATGAATCGAACCCCCTCAGGGGGTCATGGGGACCTCTCCTCTATTGCTAGTCCTCCAGAAGCACAGGTGACAACCTGGACGTGTGACTGGCGTCTGCAGTGGGGGGTGGTCTTACAGGGCTGTCTTTAACCTGTGTGGTCTGTCAGTTTCTTCAGGTAGATTGTATCTGAATTGAGTTAATTGCTTGGTGATGTGGGGAAAACACACATTAGAACATACAGGGACCTCCCTAGTGGTCCAGTGGCGAAGACTCCATGCTCCCAGTGCAGGGGGCCCAGGTTCCATCCCTGGTCAGGGAACTAGATCCAGCAGGCTGCAACTAAGACCTGGTGCAGCCAAATAAATCTTAAAACAAGAATTGGACTTACACACATCAGCTTCCTAGCAGCTGTGAGCTTAGGAAATTCCCTGGCAGGCATCCTGTGGTTAGAACTCCATGCTTCCACTGCAGGGGTCCTGGGTTCCATGCCTGGTTGGAGAACTAAGATCCCACAAACTGCACACGTGCATGTGTGCTAAGTCACTTCAGTCGTGTCCCACTCTTTTTGACCACATGGACTGTGGCCCACCAAGCTCCTCTGTCCGTGGGATTTCCCAGGCAAGAATACTGGAGTGGGTTGCCATGCCCTCCTCCAGGGGATCTTCCCGACCCAGGGGTCAAACCTGCATCTACTAGGGCCCCTGCATTGGCAGGTGGGTTCTTTCCCACTAATGCCACCTATGAAGCTCCTACAAGCTGCATGGTGTGGCCAAAAGAATAAAGAAGTGGAACCCAGTAGCAGGGGCCTGTGTGGTTTATTCTGGTGCCCACCCCTACAGGAACCGGACAGCCTGGACTGCTCTAATGCAACCACTTCTGCCCCATTCACCACAATCACCCCTCTTTCTCTCTGCCCCAAGCCCTCAGGGACCACACTTCAGTAGTTTCAACCAGTTTTATTAGACTCCAAAAAGCCGTTCTAATGGATATCCCATTTCTCTAACAACCCCCCGGCGGGTGGGGTCGTAGGTCTTCTCAACTGCTTCCCCCAGGCCCCAGTCTTGCTCCCTTCCCCTTGGGACACAGGAGTCAGGGGTCCCCACCCAGCGTCTGGGACCAAGCCCCCTCACGCCCCCTAGGAACCAGGATTTCAGGCCTCTAGGCCCTTCCCCTCCTCTTCAGTGACCGGACTTCTACTTCCAGGTGCAGTCGGGGCACACATGTGGGTTCAGCGGGGAGTGGACAGGCGCCGACATTCATGCATCCGGTAGGCACACATGTAGAAAATTCCTGCACAAGAAGAGACCCCGATGGACCCTGCCCCCAAGCCCTCCCGCCCCTCCATCCCCCCCAGCCAGCCCAAGACCCCAACACAGTATTCCCTTTCTCCCTGATTGTCTGCAGGGCTTGGAGTCTGCCTTCTGGCTCAATGCTGGGTGCTCCGTCTGGGACTCCCCATCATTTAGGCATCCTGGGTTCTGCCGGCTGGGACACAGACACTGACCTTCCCACCCCCAAACCCAGTACCTGCAAAGAAGGTCATGAGCAGGGCTACCCAGCCCAGGATGTAGGACCAGGAAAAGCGCCAGTCCCCGAAGCGGCGACCCAGAAAGCTGACGGTGACTCCAGTGTAGATGGCCAAGGCCAGCAGGACAAAAAAGGCTGGAGAGAGAGGGCAGGGGATGGGGGTGTGCGGGGGAATAGGGCTGGGCTTAGAGATGGGGCTTCCCTGGGGACTCAGATGGTAAAGAATGTGCCTGCCATGCAGGAGAGCCAGGTTCAATTCCTGGGTCAGGAAGATCTCCCGGAGGGGGGAATGGCAACCCACTCCAGTATTCTGGCCTGGAGAACCCCATGGACAGACGAGCCTGGTGCACGGGGTCACAAAGAGTCAGACACAACTTTTGCTTTTAGAGATGGGAGTTGGAATGAGATTGAGAAGGGGGTATGGATGCAGAGAGGGATAAGGGTGAAGATGGGGGTTGAGTTGAAAGTAGGAGTAAAAATGAATGGGGAGTAGGGTTAAGGGCAGGGGTGGGGTGGGTTGTCTTGTGTCATAGAGAGTCTGACTGGTCTTTCTCTCTGGTTCCTGGGAGGGAGACTCTAAATCCTTGGAACTTTCTGAGTAATAGGAGTGTCTTTGTTTCTCTTGAGCCTCTTTAATCACACCTGAATTTATGTTGACGAGCAGAGATGACTCACTGTGAGAGCTGGTCACCAGAAAGCCCAACCGTAGGATGCAGGCTTGGGACTTGGAGCTACCTGGGATCACTCCAACCTCTGGGGAGGAGAGGGGAGCTGGAGACTGAGCTCAATCAGGTGGCCCATGATGCAATCATTCACGTCCTTGTAATGAAACCAAAAGAAACGCAGGCCACTGCTGCCCACTGGGGCTTCCTGGGTGGTGAACGTATGGGGGTGCTGGGGTTGGAGGGCAGGGTGATGAGCCCCAGCTCTGCCGGGAGAGGGCGTGGGAGCTGTGTGTTCAGGACTCTCTCCAGCTTCACTCTATGCATTTCTTTAGTTGGCTGGTCTTGAGCTGTATTCTTGGTAATAAAACTGAAATTTTTAAGTATTATGCTTTCCTGGGTTCTGTGAGTTGTTCCAGCCAATTTTTGAACCCAAGTGGATCCTGGGAACCCCTGAATCTGTAACTGATAGATCAAAAGTGCAAGTGGGCTGGGGGCCCCAACTTGCAGCTGAAGTAGGGGCAGTCTTGCTGGGAACTGTGCCTTTAAGCCTGTGGGGTCTGATGCCAGCTCCAGGTGACGAGTGCCAGAATGGAATGGCAGTACACCTGGGTGGTATAGGAATCAATGAGCATTAGAAATAGTCTTGAAGTTGTTGTTGGGAGTGGAGATGGGATTCCGGTGCAGGTGGAGTTGAGAGCAAGGAGCAGTGGGGAATGAAAGTGGTGCTGGGGGCGGGCATGGGTGGGGGTTGGAGCTGGGCAGGGAGTCGGGGAGAGGGGTAGGTGTAGGGTGCGGTTCACTCACTGGAGGCGAAAAACATGATGCCTGCAGAGAAGGGCCGGGAGAGGCGGGTGAAGGTGGGCTGCTGAGCGAAGGCCACGATGCCCATGATGATGCCGGAGGTGGCACAGAGTGAGGACAGGATCATGAAGGCCCGGGTGGCATTCCAGTATGCTGTAAGGGTACCCCATGGTCACTGCTGTCCTGCCCCTGCCCTCAGAGTGAAGGCTGCCACCTCTGAGGGCAGGAATGCGTCCCCCCTCTCCATATCTCTCACCCCGCTCTTCCTTCACTGCTCTCCAAACACCCCCCTCTTCACCTGGCAAACTCCTATTCATCCTCCAAAGCCCACCTCCCAGATCCCCTCCTCTAGGAAGTACTCCCTCACCCCTCAGGTACCATCTACACTCCCTCCTCTGGTTTGAGGCTCTCTTTGTCTGTCTCCCTCTCCAGCCTGATTGCTCCCTGAAGACAAGTACCTGGTTGATTCTATATCACAAACATGCCCAGCAGAGGCTTGTTTGAACAGCAGCCTGGAGAAACGTTTGTTGGATGAAGGAATGAGTAAATGAATGAATACCAATTTCCCATATCCCCCTGCTACTCACTGTCTAGCCTCTCTCTCACTCCCCCTTTCCCTTCCTTCATACCACTTGCCCATATCTAAAAACGTCCCACTTGTTTATTTCTACCTTGTTTATGATGTCTAACTCTTTGCACTGAATATTCAGCTCTGTGAGGACAAGGGTCTGGCTTTCTCATTCACTGTTGTATCCCCAGCATCTAGTGCCTGGCATGCAGTAGGTGTTCAGTAAACATGTTGAATGAATGAAGATCCCTGAGAACAGTCTTCATGACTTCAACTTCCACTTGGCAACTATCAAGTATGGGCCAGGCTCTCTTTTCCTGTATGATCCTATTCCTTCCAAGAGTCCTATGTTTTAAGTGTTTTCCTGTCCATTTTTTTCAAGTGAAGGAAAGAATAGAGGCTCAGAGAGGTAAAGTGTTTTGCCCAAGGTCCCACCATAAGCAGAGGGACTAGAGTTGAAAGCCAAGCTCAAAACTCTCAGTCTTAACTACTTGGGGCCTCCTGCTGCTCATACCCAGCTGACCATGAACCCAGAGAAGACTTGCAAAACTGGATTTTTCAACAAGAGCTGCAAGTCCAGATTTTAATGTAAAATCTCCAGATTTTTTAACACTTGCGTATTATAAAACAAAGACATCTCTTTGCCAACAAAGGTCTGTGTAGTCAAAGCTATGGTTTTTCCAGTAGTCTTGTATGGATGTGAGAACTGGACCATAAAGAAGGTTGAGCGCCAAAGAATTGATGCCTTTGAATTGTGGTGTTGACTCTTTGAATTGTGGTGTGGGACTCTTGAGAGTCCCTTGGACTGCAAGGAGATTAAATCAGTCAGTCCTAAAGGAAATCAACCCTGAATATTCATTGGAAGGACTGAGGCCGAAGCTGAAGCTCCTATACTTTGGCCACCTGATGCGAAGAGCCTGCTCACTGGAAAAGACCCTGAAGCTGGGAAAGACTGAAGGCAAAAGGAGAAGAGGGTGGCAGAGGATGAGATGGTTAGATAGCGTCACTGACTTAGTGGACATAAATCTGAGCAAACTCCACGAGACAGTGAAAGACAAAGAAGCCCGGTGTGCTGCAGTCCATGGGGTCACAGAGTGTCGGACACGACTTAACAACTGAACGACGACAACGGCTTTGGAAACTTTAAAAATGTCACGCATACACGTCTAAGGTTGGTTTTGGCCCTGGGGAAGCACGCTCAGGACTCCTGCTCTAATTTTGGTGATTGGATTACATCAGTCATACAATGGATGAACGATAAACCAGTTGTTTGGACAAATAGTGAAAAATCTATTGGGGTGAGGTTGTCCCTGAGGCCCTCAGTCTTGGGGTTGTGAAGATGTCAAATGAACTTGAAGACCCCCATCCAGCCTCCCTCTCTCCCATCCCCAGCAGAGATAAAACACAGAAGAAACTCAGAGGGCCCCAGGGTGGGGAGTCGGGGGTGGGCCGGGGTGGTTCCCAGCCTGAATTAGGAGGAAAGGTAGAAGTGTGACAGTGGATGCGGCCAGAAATGAAAAAGATACATGAGCCTGATTGGCAGATGGGGCTCTGAAACAGGTAGCCCAGGACAAGCTTTTCCACTCCCCCTGCCTCAGTTTACCGCTCTAGTGAATGGGCAGGTTTGGTGCAATGGGGTAGATGAAATCTCCTGCCACAAGCCTGTCACATCACAGGGCTCAGGGAAGGTGGGCTCCTCCTCCCAACCCCCGCCCTTGCAAAAGAATTGGTTTTTCAAGGTCATGTATCAGGTCTTATTCATAGACACAAGGGAACTGCCTTCTCAGTGTTGTTGGGACGACTATGGGAGTTAATCCAGGCAAAGTACTTAGTATAGCATGTAAAACACAGTAACAATACATGCCAGTTATTATTATTATTACCACTATCACTGGATACATATAATATACAACATGTGACACATTATATATCACTGATATATTACATAACATATACTATATAATATATATGAGGTAATATAGTATATATCTCTATGTATCTCTCTCTCCAGGTATGAGATTCCCAGGTGGCGCAGTGGTAGAGAGCCAGCCTGCCAATGCACGAGTTGCAAGAGATGCAGGTTCAATCCCTGGGTTGGGAAGATCCCCTGGAGAAGGAAATGGCAACCCACTCCAGTATTCTTGCCTGGAAGATTCCATGGACAGAGGCGCCTGGTGGGCTGCAGTCCATGGAGTCCTACAGAGTGGAACACGACTGAGCACGCATAACTTCCATATATATGTGCGTGTATACATTTGACCTTTGAACAGCACAGGTTTGAATTGTGCTGGTCCACTTACACGCAGATTTTTTCCGATAAATACACGCAGTACTACACGATCTGGGGTTGAATTAGCGGATGCAGAATTGTGGATATGGACCCCTGGCTGTGGAATAGCAGATACAGAGTTAATTATGAGACTTGAGCATCCAGTGGTTTTTGGTATCCACTACGGGTCCTGGAACCATTCTCTGAGCATGCTAAGGGATTGAGGGATGACTGTACATATATGCAAGTATATACAGATAGGGAAAGCAGTACATAGAGACATATGTACATAATACATTACAATAATTTATATTATATAACATAGATTGCAAGTGGCTCAGATAGTAAAGAATCTGCCTGCAGTGCTTGAGATGGGGTTCAATCCCTGAGCCAGGAAGATCCCCTGGAGAAGGGAATCATTGCCTGGGAAATCCCATGGACAGAGGAGCCTGGCGGGCTATGGTCCATGGAGTCGCAAAGAGTTGGACCCAACTGAGTGACGAGCACATATGCACTTTTGTCCATAAACTGTGAGAACAATTTTATCCCCACTTTTACAATATATAGTGTGATACACACACTATATGGGCTTCCCAGGTGCCTTTAGTAAAGAATCTGCTGCCAATGCAGGAGACATAAGAAATGCAGGTTCTATCTCTGGGTGGGGAAGATCCCCTGGAGGAGGGCGTGGCAACCCAGGCCAGTATTCTTGCCTGGGAAATCCCACGGACAGAGGAGGCTGGTGGGCTATAGACCAAAGGGTCACAAAGAGTCAGACACGACTGAAATGACTTAGCAGCAACATATCCACTATATAGCTATATACACACATATATACACACACGTATACGTATACATAATATGTATTATGTGACTTGGCTCACAACAAGTATTAAAAAATACCTCATCTAGTATAGCAGATTTAGGGTCTGTATTGCTTCTGCATCCTCCGAGTACCAAACAGAGCTCTTCACACGTAATAGATATTTAGAAAATGCTCTTTTGTCAGCCCCGGCCCCAGGTAACTGCTGTTACCTGACCTCTATTTCATGCCAGAAAATGTCACCTCTCTCCTTAACTTCTAAATCAGTACATCCTGTAATTGTACCAGGAAAAAAATACTGGAATCCCAGCTCTGTTCCTTCCCTGCCGAGTGACCTTGGGCTGGACCCTTTCCCTCTCTGAACCACAAGGTTCTCCACCTGCAAAACAGGGGGCCCTTCTGCTGGAAGGTTCTGCCCCGCGGGACGCTGTGCTCCCAGGCAGAGCCCGGAGCCCGCCCCGGAGCCTCACCGATGCTTTCTGTCTGCAGGTAGCACTTGGTGCCCAGGCAGTAACGCCACAGGCCCTGGTGGGCGAAGGCCCCCGACAGCCGGTACTGCATCCAGTGGTCTGTCGCCGTGGCCACCACCAGAAGGATGGTCCCCACCCAGGCACAGAAGAGGCCGCCTCCCATGAAGCTGTACATGGTGATCTGTGGGTGAGGGGAGAAATGGGGTCACGAGCTGGACTGCCGGGTCCTGGGAGAGGTGAGGGCTGGGGGATCTGAGCCCTGGTTTGAGGGAGGAAGACCTGGGGACCTGGACTTCCAAATCCTAGGGTGGGGAGAGGGGGTGGGGGCTGGGACATCAGGTCCCAGTGGGAGCAAAGAACTGGGCACCTGGACCTCTGGGTCTGGGGGAGGAGAGTTTGAGGACCTAGACCTTTGGGTCCTGGGAGAGACTGAGGCTGGGGGCCTAGACATCCAGAACCTAAACTGGAACGGGGCTGGACACTCCCTGCGCCTTGGGGCACCAAGTCTCTGGGGGGAAGGAGAGGACTGGGGGCTTGGACTCCCAGATCCAAGGTAGCAGGGGGCTAGGGCTAAGACCCCACCAAATCCCTGGGGGAGAAAGAAGCCCCGGCCTCCTACATTTGCAGGGAGGAGGGGGCCACGCCTGGTCCCTACCTGAGCCGCAGATTCTGCCCTGAGCCCTCCGTCTGCCTCGGCCCCTCTGAGCAGACTGAGCCCGGCCAGGTCGCTGGCCTCTCCCCTCCCCGGGTCCCCCCAAATCCCTTAAGCCTCCCTACACAATGGCCCCGCAGCCCAGCAGCTTCCAGCAGGCAGAGGCCCCCAGATGGAATTCGCTGAGGCAGGAATCCAGGCCCTGCCTCTCCGCAGCCCCTGGCCCCAGTGGCCTCTCTCCATGACCCTCCCAGCCACCCTGGAAGCCTTTCACCGGCCACGCTCCCGGCACCCATGGGGTTAGCCCGAGCTGCGTAAGCACACACAGACACAAGACATAGGGACACTCAGCCATTTATTGTGCAAGCCGGTCCCCCTCCCCCAAGGGCAGGAAATGGGGTGGGGGCCGCAGGTGCCTGGATATGTTGGGACAACAGGGTTTTCTGCAAGTGGGGTCACAGGGCATGTCACCTGGGGGGTTAGGACAGGGAGGGGGTAGAGGATGAGGCCAGGCTGGCTGGGCTCGAGAACACGGCTGCACTGGGGGCTGGAGCTTCAGTGAAATGAAGGATGAGGGTCGGGCTGGCCTTTAGGAAGAAGGGGATGAGGGAGCTGGGAACGAGGCTACGAGGGTGGGAGATGGGCAGAGATGGGAGCAGAGGGGGATGAATGGCTGGGGCCGTGGGGTGGGGCTGGCCGGAATGGCTCTAGGGTTAGGAAGGGGGCTGGAAATGTCCGGGGGAGCCCCGGGCGTTGGGAGAGAGGCGCGGGTTGGCAGTGTAGTTAGGGATGCTGTCAGAGACGGGAAGGGGCTTGGGTTAGGGTTGCTTCCCTGACTTGGGATCCGAAGTCAGGTCCCAGTGTCACCAGCTGCCTCACAGGAGCCCCTTCTGAGGCTGTGGTTTTCAGGGAAGAGGGATGGCAGTGTGATGTCCCCTGGATATCTCTGGCAGGGCTGGGGTCACCCTGGGCTCCAAGAAAACTCTCCTGGTGACCTCCAAGGCGCCCTCCGGAATCCAGGGTGCAGGATCCTCAAGGTCCTAGTATTCGGCCTCCCAGTCCTCAGCAGGCGGCGGCTCCATGGGTGGCTCCGAACCCTGGGTGTCCTTCTTCCCCTCCTGCGCAGGCGGTGCTGGTGATGGCGGCGTCACCGGCGGGGTCTTGGGGCCAGCCCCACGGCCCCTGGCCCAGCCCCTCTCTGCCTGTTCAGCCCTCCCAAGTCCCCATCTCCGGTGGCCCCGGCCTGGCCTGCGCGGGACATCCCAGCCCCCGCGTCCCTTGGGTGACCTCTTGGCAGTGCCCGGCTGGGTGCCGCATGCCCGGGGGACACAAGGGCAGGAGGGCAAGGACTGCTGCAGCGAGTAGGCCCCCATCAGGGCGCTGTGCAGGAGGTAAGACAGGGCATCCAGGCGGATGGGGACGGTCACAGAGGCCAGGCTCTCGGGGAGCCCCAGGTGGGCTGGATCTGGGGTGCCCAGGAAAGAAGAGGGCAGAGCTGGGAAAGCTTGAGGCGGCCACGACCCAGCCCCGGGGGGCGGCAGATTGTTCCTAGAACGACAAGAGGACAGGTCAGGCAGGGGATGTCCCCAGTCTGCACATGCCTTTCCTTTCCGCAGCCTCGCTGCTTCCTACCTTCTCCCAGGCTTTCATTTCTCCTCATCCTCAGGACCGTTTGCCTCTGACTTCTAGCCCCTTCCTTTCTCTCTTTCTCTGTTCCTTCCTGTCTCTCTTTACAGACAGGCAGACAGCTCAGCTGGAGCTTCAGCGACCCACCGAGCATGGTTCCCATTCCAGGCTGCCTTCCTCAGCCGTGTGTCTGGGCCAATCATTTTCCCCTTCCGAACCTTAAGTTTTCATACCAAGAGAGAGCTTCTGGTGGTATCAAAGGTGCCTCTGAAAGGGCTGGGTCTGGGAAGTGTTCAATACCTGGTGTCAATTATTATTATTATTACTCCAGACAATTATTATTAGTATCTTCAATTCTCCCGATTCCCGCTAGAAACTTCTCTTTCTTCCATTAATATCTGCTTCCAGCTCTTTCCCTATTTCTAAGTATCTCGCTCAGCTCTGTCACTAAGATCCTCAAAGATTCTGTTTCTATGTGATGATACCAGAGGCTTTTTTTTTTTTCCCCCCGGTACCCTCTCGGGTCTGCTCAACTCTCTCTCCGATTTTCTCTGTCCCTCCTCACTCTGGGTCACTGTCCTTCCCGCGGGGAGTCTCGTGTCTCTCACCCCTCAGGCCCAGTCTCTTCCTTTTGCTGTTCCATCTTTACCGGGGTGTTTCAAGTCTTTTCTAGCGCCTTCGCCTCGATTTCTCCAGCGCGCAGAAAGGAAGAGTCTGGAAGGAGGTGGGCGGGACTTTGTTGGGAGGGGGCGTGGCTTGCGGGGCGCGGCTTGCGGGGCGTGCGGGGGCGAGCCTTGCTGGCATGTGGGGCGGGGCTTGTGGGCCGGGGCGGGGCTTGTGGGCCGGGGCGGGGCTCGTGGGGCGGGGCTTGCGGGGCCGGGGCGTGCGGGTAGTGCTGAGTCGCGTGAAAGCGTTCGGGGGTTGAGTTCTTGCGGTTCTAGTTGCTTCAACCACACTTGTCTCAGGTCGCAGCTCCCACCTCCTCGAGACCAAAGAGCCCGGCCCCGAGCCCCCTCCTCCCTCAGACCTAGGAGTGCAGGCCCCCAGCCCTTGCTGCCTCAGGTCTAGAAGACCCTAGCCTCCTCTTTCTTCATCTGTGTTCCTGGACCGCGTCCTGGACGGAATCGGGGTGGGGCCGATGGTGTACTCTAGGACTAAAGGGGCATTTAGGAGAATCTGAACTTTGGATGCTCCCGGGGGCAAAGGGGTTAGTAATTGGGTTAGGAATCTTAGAGGCTGGATTTCATTCTAACCTCTGTCTCTGACTTCCCTTGTGAGCTTAAACCCTTCTAGTCGCTGTTTTTTGAGAAACAGGGCTATTAGCTTATAGGATTACCTTATAGGATCTCGTGAGCTTTAAAGGATATGTTGCGTGTGTAAAGTAGTCAACACACGATCTGGACTAAAATTCGCCTCAACCAATGAGAGTTTTTTATCTTGGTAGTATTTTATTGAGAAGCAATGGAATTCTTCTATGTATTTATTTAAGAAATATGATTCAGTGCCTGCAATACTCTAGGCGCCAGGTTGGGCACCAGACAAAATAAATGCACGCTTATGAAACTTACATGCTGGGTGAGCAACACACAAGGCACAAATAGTACATTTCCTACACGAAGGAGGGCTGTGGAGGTGTAAAGACAGGACAAGGGATACAAAGGCTCAGGGGGTTATTTTAGTTAAGATGGTTAGAGAAGGCTTCTTGTGGGATGGAGCCAGCCGACCTGGGAGCTGAGTGTTCTGGTAGAGAGACCAGCAGGTGCAAAGGTCCTTCAGGGTGAAACAAACATAGTATTTGAGGGACTGGGAAGCAATAAGCTAGGAGATGAACAGGTCTATTTTTTAAAAAATATTTTTTTTAAATTTTGGAATACCTTCACATTTACAGAAAAATTACAAAGATAACTTTGTAACTCACCCTGTTTCCAGTCTTCTTATTTCCTTACCTGGTCATGGAACATTTTTCCAGTTTTTACACGAACATCCTGTTTTTTTTCTGTTCCAGAATCCAATGCAGGGTCTCACTGAATCATCACATCTCAGTCACCTCTGATCTGCAGCCATTTCAGTCTTTCCTTGTTTTTCACCACTTTGACAGCTGACTACTAGTCAGTTTTTTTCCTTTTAATAAAACAGAGGTCTATTTTAATTAATAATTCCAATTTATTAGTCCTCATTTCACAAAGGTTCAAATGGCCTCAGAGAGGCTAAGCAAGTTACTCAAGGCCACAGAGCAGGTAAATAGCACAACTGGGATTTGAACCCCACCTCCAGAGTCTGCTTTTAATGGAGACACAAGTAGAAGCTAGATTGTATAATAACCTTATAGGCTGCAGTGAAGACTATGGAATTTTTAAAATTTAATTTTGGAACATTGAGATGACTTTGAACGTTTGGAGGCAGAAGTGTGACATAATTTATGTTTTGAGAAGAGCACTGTGCCTGCAGCGTGGGGAGTGGATTGTGGTGGGGCATAAGCCTGGAAGCAGGAAGCCTAGAGAGAATGCTGTCATCCTGTAGGCAAGTGGTGATGACCTCAAGGATGGTACGGTTAATGGGGATGGGAAGATGTGAGTGCATTTATGATGTATTTTGGAAGGAGACCATCAGGATTTGCTGTAGGGCTGCTGGAGGTGAGTAATGGGGAATCAAGGATGATGCAAAGTTTTCAACCTGAGCGACGCCTTTGAATATGAATTTTCTTATAAAAGCTCACAACATCCCACTGTAAGGATGAGAAATCGAAGAGTAGCTTTCATTTTCCGAGTTCTCTTGAGCCAACTCTACACGATGCTGGGGTCTACAAGTAGATGCTGAACCAGTAGCTGCTCTTCAAGGGCTCTCAAGGTTTGAGGCAGTGAAATCCCCGGTAGCACTCTGGGGTGATGGAAGCTGGGACACTGGGAGGGACAGGACAGTGAGAGCCAGAAGTGGGTTAAACATAGCCTGGAGGCCAGGAGGTGGAGGGTCAAGTCGGGGGCCAGGAAAACAGTTGCTCACTTGTTATGGGCTGGAGGAGAAGGTAGGGGAGGGTTTTTTTGTTTGCTTGCTTTTAAAGGAGGGGCCTTTAGACTAGGTCCAGAGTGAATGGACACTTTCACTTTTCACTTTCATGCATTGGAGAAGGAAATGGCAGCCCACTCCAGTATTCATGCCTGGAGACTCCCAGGGACGGGGGAGTCTGGTGGGCTCCCGTCTAAGGGGTCACACAGAGTCGGACATGACTGAAGCGACTTAGCAGCAGCAGCAGCAGCAGCAGAGTGAATGGACATGGAAAAAATGGTGCGAGCAAAGGTCAGGTGGTTGGAATAGAAAAGATTTTATCAAGAAAGCTGACTTTCTTTTCTGGCAGCTATGATTAGCATTCAGGTCTCATTAATCCAGGTACAGTCTATCCCAAAGAAGAAGTTTTTGTTGAACAGGGCTCCAAAATGACAGTTCAAATCCTCGCTTTGCTTCTTACCCGCTCTTGCCCTAGAACAAACTAAGTCTATTTTTCGCAACATAAAACTCAGTCCCAGCATAATGGCCCTGCTTCTGGTTTTGTTCCGTAATGGATCCTCCTATTTCTGTGATCAGGGTCCAATCTCGTCACTTACAAGTCAGTCAGTCAGTTCATTTGCTCAGTCGTGTCCGACTCTTTGTGACTCCAAGGACCACAGCCCTCCAGGCCTCCCTATCCAGCACCAACTCCCAGAGTTTACTCAAACACATGTCCATTGAGTCAGTGATGCCATCCAACCATCTCATCCTCTGTCGTCCCCTTCTCCCACCTTCAATCTTTTCCAGCATCAGGGTCTTTTCCAGTGAGTCAGCTCTTTGCATCAGGTGGCCAAAGTACTGGAGTTTCAGCTTCACCATCAGTCCTTCCAATGAATATTTAAGACTGATTTCCTTTAGGATGGACTGGTTGGATATCCTTGCAGTCCAAGGGATTCTCAAGAGTTTTCTCCAACACCATAGTTCAAAAGCATCAATTCTTCAGCACTCCAAGTCTCATATCCATACATGACTACTGGAAAAACCATAGTCTTGACTAGACGGACCTTTGTTGGCAAACTAACATCTCTGCTTTTTAATATGCTGTCTAGTTTGGTCATAACTTTTCTCCCAAGGAGTAATCGTCTTTTAATTTCATGGCTGCAGTCACCATCTGCAGTGATTTTGGAAACCAAAAAAATTAAGTTTGCCAGTTTCCACTGTTTCTCCATCTATTTGCCATGAAGTGATGGGACCGGATGCCATGATCTTAGTTTTCTGAGTGTTGCGCTTTAAGCCAACTTTTTCACTCTCCTGTTTCACTTTCATCAAGAGGCTCTTTAATTCTTCTTCAGTTTCTGCCATAAGGGTGGTGTCATCTGCATATCCGAGGTTATCGATATTTCTCCTGGCAACCTTACCAGGTACCTGGCCCTTTAAGGCCCTCCTTCCCGAGCTAGGAGAGCGGAGGCGGGCTTTTGTGTCTCTAAGGAAATGCGCTTCGCCCAGCTCCCAAAATTGACAGGTAAGTTCTGAAAAGTGACCAATCAACACCTGCATCTGGAGGGAAGCCCGTTTCCGATTTGTTGGGAGAAGGGGCAGTCATCGGCTTGAGCTCCGCCCACTCCTTGTTACGTAGGATAGCGCGAGGCGTCATCCTCAGCTCTGATTGGCGGGTGAATTCGCATTGCTTTCGAGCCCTCTCCCTCCGGCTGTCAGATCCAGGTGGGGTTCGGAAGCAGAGCGAGGCTAGCACCCCAGGAGGCTGGCACCCTCATTCTTTGATTGGCTACGTTTATGAGCACAAGTCTCTCTCTCTCTCTCTCTCTCTCTCTCTCTCTCTCTCTCTCTCTCTCTCTCTCTCTCGCTCTCTGATTGGCTGTTTCCTTTCAGCGCCAGGGCTGTAACGGAGGGTTTTGCCCGGGTCTTTAGCGGTGTCCCTTGTCCGCTTCCCGGCGCTGTGGCAGCGTAGACCAGGAGATGCTGAGCGAAGCTAGAAAGGGAGAGGGGTCTCCAGGCTGAGGGGAGGCCCATGCAGGGGTCTTCTTGGTCCTCTAGGGAAGCTCATTGGACTTTCCTGATACCTCAGTGGGTTAAGAATCCACTTGCCAACACAGGAGCCATGGATTCAATCCATGGCTCCAGAAGATCCCCTGGAGGAGGAAATGGCAACCCACTCCAGTATTCTTGCCTGAAAAATCCCGTGGACAGTGGAGCCTGGCGGGCGAGTGCTTGGGGTCGCAGAGAGTCGGACAGGACTGGGCAACTAAGCACACAGCCAGTCTTAACGACGAATCTCTTCCTTCCACTGCCCCCTACAGGCCTCCGACTGTCAAAGTCCCAAGGTTCGATCTTCAGGGCTTTCCTAGCCCACGGGGCTCAAGGATTCCCTTAAGTTCCTTCCGTCCCTCTCCCTGCAGGAGACCTTTGGGCGCCTTCTTCTCTCCCTCCCTTGAGCCTTACCAACTCGTTCAACACCTCCAACTTAGTAGCCCTTCCGGTCTTGGGGTTTTCCTCTATCCTCAGAAATGGCCGGGATGCTTGGCAAGAGGTTACTGGAGTGAAACTGAGTTTATGGGTCAGATTTGTGGGCTGAAGTCTGTGCTGGAGTGAGTGCCCCTGGGTTTATGTGACTCTCATGATTGCTTTTTTCCCTAATATTTTTAAATATTATTTAAAAAAAATTATTTGGCTGTGCTGGGTCTTAGTTGTGGCATTTGGGATCTTTGGTACAGCATGTGGGTTCTAGTTCCCTGACCAGGGATGGAACCTAGGCCCCTTGCATTGGGAGGTGGAGGCTTAGCCACTGGACCACCAGAGAAATCTCCATGATTGCTTTTTGGATTGCTTGGTAGTCAGGGTTTGCTAGAAAAGTCTGCTGAAGTGGCAGTGGGAGTCTGGAGGTGAAGGGCCCCCTAAAGGGAGATCACTGAGATATTTGCATTAAATCATTTAAATTCTCACAATCTTTTAAAAAGTGCTCAAAACATTTTGCATTTGTATTATTTACCTTCTTTCAAGTACAGTAAAATTCACTCTTTTTGGTGTGCAGTTCTGAGTTTTGACAGATGCATAGAGCTGTGTAACTGTCACTGCTAACAAGATTGTGTTTTTTTTTCATTCCTCCAAATTCTCTTGTGCCACCTCTTTGTCATAATAACCTTTTTTAAAAAAAGTTTTCATCAGTTATTTATTGAAAATTCACTAAAAACTTAATCCCAGAATCATACTATATGTTGGGGGAGTTTATTTTATATAGGTTATAATCATGCTTACTTGAAGGGCTAGATGAACTTGACCTTATACATTTCACATAAAAGTTTAATTACTCCAAGTCCTCTTATTGTCTTTAGAAAGTTTTTTTAAAAATTTTATTCAAGTATGGTTCATTTACAATGTTGTGTTTAATTTCTATTGTACAATAAAGTGACTCATACATATATGTATTCTTTTTCATATTTTTCCCATATATATATATAACTGAATCACTGTGATCTAACACATTGTAAACCAACTATACTGTAATTTAAACAAAATTTTGTTTAAAGGTGCCTACCATTCCAAAAGAAGAAGCAGAAGAACCAGGAAAGCAACTAAACAATAACAACAAACTTTTCCTAACTAAAGGCTAGCTTTCTTAGGCTTAGCAAGGCAACGACTCCATTCGGCCTGAAATCAGTCATAGGCAATACAGAAAAAAAATGGGTATGACTGTGCTCCAATAAAGCTTTATTTAGGGACACTGAAATTTGAATCTCAAGTCATTTCCATGCATCATAAAACATCCTTCTTTTGATTTTTTTCCCTTGAATAATTTAAAATGTAAAAAATGCTCACAGGTGCCATCAAAGCCCCAGCGGCCCAGACTTGACCCATGAGGTTGTCTGGGCGACCTCTCAAACAGGAGTGCCTCATCCTCTCTAAAGTCCCTCCCAGCCCTTGAGAAACTGAGACTGTGAGTAATCAGCTGGGGCGGGGCCTGGGTTTCTCCCAGGAAAAGCTTTTGCTTGCTCAGAAGAGTGTATTCGGAGAAGTAAGGGCAGGAGGAGAAGGGAGCAACAGAGGATGAGATGATTGGATGGCATCACTGACTTAATGGACATGAGTCTGAGAAAACTCCAGGAGATGGTGAAGGACAAGGAAGCCTGGAGGGCTACAGTCCATGGCGTTGCAAAGAGTCGGACACGACTGAGTGATTGAACAACAACTCTGGAGACATTAATCAAGCTGCTCCAAAATGCTAGGGTCTGGGATGGGATGACCCATCCTTGGAGGATTAAAGAGAGAGAGAGAGAGACCACCCTCTGTTCTCTTCCCAATTGCCCTGCCTCTCTCCCTGGCCTGGATCCAAGTCCTCTGGCCCAGTAGACCCTCAGTGGAACTGGATTTCAGCGTACTCTGGGTGCGTGCCCTTGGGTCTCTGAGTCTCCCATGGTCTGAGACCTGGGAAGTTGAGGACAGCGTAATGGAGCTCCTCTTGGTTGTTCTCTGCTTCTGAGGCTTGTGGGGATGACTTGGGTCCTGGACAGTTGTGGGAGACGAGATGGAGCTCCTTCTGGTTCTTTCTGGCTTCCGGGGAGTGACCATCTGGAGGAGGCTGGGTAGGACTGCTTGGTTTGGCTTTCTGTTTCTGAGCATAAGGGGGGGGAAGAACGACCATCCTGCCTTCCTTCCTTCATTCAACAAATACTTGAGCGCCTGCCCAGTGCCAGGTACTAATTAAGGAACTTGGATCACATCAGGCAGTGAAACAAAGACTCTGCTCTCCCTGAGCTCGCCTCTTGTCTCCGGACAGGAACAAACTATAAACAGAAGTCTGTTGTTTAAGCCTCCAGCCCGTGGCTCTTTGCTATGGCCGCCTTAGCGAACTGACTAATGCAGGTAGATTGGTGTGAGGACCACCACAAAACCGAAGTGCTTCTTCAACACATACATCTCCCTCCCACATCCAAAACCTCCCTTCTCATCATCCTTCCATCCCGGATCCCTCACGACTACTAACCTGTCCTCTATCTCTACAATCGTAACATTGGAGAGTGTTTTACACGTGGTCACCGTGTAGGTGACCATTTGAAATTGGCTTTTTTCACTTTTTTTTTTTCTCTTGGTCCCTAAGCTCTATCCAACCAAGGTGGGGAGAAGTGGTTTGGATAGATTTGAGAAGACATGTGCTGATGGATCAATTGTGGGAGGATAAAAAAGAGAGGAGTAAGAAGTGACTTTGAGGCTGGAGGCTTGTACTTCCGAGTAGCTCAGTTAGTAAAGAATCTGCCTGCAATTCAGGAGGCCCGGGCTCAATCCCTGGGTCAGGAAGTACCCTAGAGAAGGAAATGGCAACCCACTCCAGTACGCTTGACTGGAGAATTCCAAGGACAGAGGAGCCTGGTGGGCTACAGTCCATGAGATCACAAAGAGTTGGACATGACTGTGGGACTGACTTTAAGGCTGGAGGCTTGAGCAGTTGGGCCAATGTGGGCTCTTTGCTGAGATGCAGAGGGTGGAGGGGAAGGGAATTAAGTGGTACTTAGTCACGAGTTTGATTTTGGACAGGAAAAGTTTGAGATGACTGTTAAACATCCGAATAGACGCTGCCTAGAGAGTTGGCTGTGAGTCTAGAGTTGAGGAATGAGTCTGGGAAATGTAAATTTTAGAGTCATTAGCATCTACATGTTCTCTCCTGAAAATATCCAGCATTTACCCAACACTTATTAGGTACTTGGTACTCAATGTTTTATGGGTAGAAAATGAGCGTATCAAGCACCCAGAATAAGCCTACATGGTCTGTACTACTATTATCCCCTTTTTACAGTTAAATTGAGGCACGGAGAAGTTAAGTGACTCATCCCAGAATACACAGCGTACAAAGCAGGAAGGAACCCCGGCGGGCTGACTTCAGAGCCCTGCCCTTAATCATCACTAGGACATACCACCCCTCAGTGATATTAATCATTGTGACATTCATTGTACTTAGTCATGTCGTTGGTAGTGGTGATAGGGAAATAGCTGCCATCTACTAAGCAATAGCATGTGTTGTAATCCTCAAACCGGCTCTCAAGGAGGAAGCAACAGAGGCTCAGCAGGAAGGAGGGATATGGTCAAGGTCTCCTAGAAGTTATGTGCCAGAATCAGGGTTTGAGTTCAACACCCGGGCCTCTTCCACTGTGAGGAAAGTCGGGGACGGGGCTGGGGAGCAGCGCATACAGGAGTCAGAGCAGGGGACCAGGAGGCAGCGACTTGGGAGCACTCACCAGAGGGCCGGCCTTAGGGATCACGTTGATGTAATCCAGGATCGTGCTCCTGCGTGAGAACCTGGACCGCGGAGCCTTTCCGGGGGCGGGGGCCGGGGCCGGGGCCGAGGTCGCGGCCGGGACTTCTGCCTGGGTCCATTTCTTCCTCAGAGCCCTCACGCTGAGGAAACATCCAGCCGCCGCCTCGGTGTGAACCCGGGTCCCGCCCCTTTCCCGGGGTGCCCCAGATTCCACGCCCCATCGCTCCCCCCTCCCCCCCTCGCTCCTAACTCACAGGATCATGATGAAGCAGAGGAAGAGGAGGGTAGTGACGCCAGTCCCTAGAGAGACTCCGCTGGAGAACGCTCTGGAGGAGAGTCCCTTCTCATCTGCACGAGAAACGGTCAGCCGTCTCTGAGCCCCTCCCATCCACGTGGGTCCTCATGTCCCGCCCGCCACTAGGCGCTTAGTCTTGTGGCTCCCATGCCAGAGGTTTCCCCTGCAGGCCCTTCCCATCGACTTCTTGGAAATTCCACTACACCCCATGCCCAAATGTCAGGCTTTCCGATTTAAATTTCCCCTCTGCATCCCAAGGGGCCTGGTGGCTCAGACGGTAAAGAATCCACCCGCAATGCGGGAGACCTGGGTTCGATCCCTGGGTGGGGAAGATCCCCTGGAGAAGGAAATGGCAACCCACTCCAGTATTCGTGCCTGGAGAATCCCATGGACAGAGGAGCCTGGTGGGCTATACATTCCATGGGGTTGCCGAGTCGGACAGGACTGAGGGACTAACGTGCCAGGCATGTCCCCGCCCTCCCCCAGCTCCTGATCCAACCGCAAGAGCCAGCCCCGGTCCCTCTCAGCCCCCGCCTCCCGCCCCCCCCCCCCCCACCCCTGACCTGGCAGCAGCAGGACAGACCCGCTCTGGACCCCGTGGGCGTTCAGGGCCTCGCAGCTGAGTCTGAGGCCGGAGCTGAGCCCCTCGCGGAGGCTCAGGGAACTGTTGGCCCAGGGCCCGGCGGAGCTGGAGCTGACCTCGAAGGAGGCATTGCTGAGTTCCCCCGCCAGCAGCCCCTCTCCGAGCCGCCAGCGCAGGGAGGGGGCCGGCCGGGCTCGGGAGGAGCAGCTGCAGCGCAGACCCTCGTCCTCCTGGGAGCAGGAGGGGCCCAGCAGCTGCGGGGGAGCTGTGGGGAGACATGGGAGGGATCAGGGGTGCCTCTCCCCTCCCTGGAACCCCGGCATCCTGTCCCCAGGGCCCCCTATACTCACAGACCACGGAGAGGCTCAGGGAAATATTTTGGGAGCCCAGCGGGTTCTGAGCCCGGCAGGTGAACTCCCCTTCCTGCTCTGTTTGTATCTGAGGCAGCTCCAGGACCCCAGGATCTGAGGGCTGGGAGGGGCTCACAGTCCGTCCCCAGTGGGTCCAGCTCAGCTGGGCGGGGGGGTTGCCGTGAGCAACACAGAGGAGACGCAGGCTTTGGCCCTCCAGGACCCGAAGAGATGCACTGCTCTCCAAGTTTTCCAGGGCTAGGGAGAGAAGAGGCAGGATGGATGAAGAGAGGAGGGCACAGGAACCCTCCTGCCTGCTGCTATGCTGGACGTCCGTGCCCCAGTGTGGCACCCAGAAGCCCCGGCTCCTCTGATGCCCTTCCGTACCTGTGTGGTTTACTCGCGAGATCACCACTTTCAGGTTCTCCGGGGCATCTGAAACAGAGACCGGGCGCTTGACTCTAAGCGCAGGGGTTTCCTTCTGGGCCAAGTGAACGTCCCCCCGTGATGAAGGGCTGGGAGGGGAGGAGGGTTGAATCACCCTCTGAGTGATTCTCCGAAGAGGAACCCAAGGGACCTGACTGGTAAGAAGGGCAGGTCCCTAAGATACAGTGCCATGTAACATAAGTAGGTCTTTGGTCTTCGTCCCTACTCCACGCACAGAGATTCTAAAACTCCTGGATTTCCTGAATGGTGAGCATGATAAAGGTGCCTTGTTATTTATAACAAACCCCTTTCCACCATTCCTGAATATTCCGTTATTGAAGTGACTTTTGGAAGTGCCCAAGGCTGAGGGCTTGTTGCTGGGGGAACCGACCACGTGATTTGAGGGTTGAAACTTCCAGTCCCACCCTCCTGACCTCTGAGGAGGGGAAAGAAAGGGGACTGGAGATTGAGTTTAATCACCAATGGTTGATGATTTAGTCAAAGTGTCTATGTAATGGGGGCTTCCCAGGTGCCTCAGTGGTGAAGAATCTGTCTGCTAATGCAGAAGACCCAGGTTTGATCCCTGGGTAGGGAAGATCCCCTGGAGGAGGAAGTGGCAACTCACCCTAGTATTCTTGCCTGGGAAATCCCATATGTAAGGAAGCCTCCATAACCACCTCCCCAAATGGGGTGAACAGATGGAGATTTGGGGAAGATGGCGCCCAGGAAGAGGGCATGGAAGTTAGGTGCCCCTTTCCCATACCTTGCCCTAAACATCACTTCCATCTGGCTGTTCCTGAGTTAGAGACTGTTAGAATAAACCAGTAATCTAGTGAGCAAACTTTGCTTGAGCAGCTCAAGCAAATTTATGGAACCCAAGGAGGAGATCATAGGAACCCCCAATCAAATACGGGTCGGTCGGAAGCACAGGTGACACCCTGGACTTGTGACTGGCAGCTGGGGTGGGGGCGGGGCCAGCCTGGTGGCCCCATCCCTTAACCTGCGGGGGTCCAATTGACGCTCTCTCCAGGTAGACAGGATCACGACCGAGTTGAGCTGTAGGACAGCCCGCTGATGTGGGAGAGTTGCTCGGTGGTGTGGGGAAAATCCCGGCACACCCCCCCACTCCCCCCTCGGCACCCCAATCCCCACTCCTCCCTTCAGAGCTGGAAGCAGCATCTTTAATTCCATAGGCCTGGGGTTCCAGGTCCCTGCGGAGCCCTGGGACTCTGCCCCCAGCCCCCTTGCCTCCTCGCCGGCGCCCCAGTCTATCCCCTGCCGGTCACACTCACACCGCACTGAGAGGTCCAGGCTGCGGCTCAAGAAGCCAAGCCTGTTCTCAGCCCGGCAAGTGTAGCGACCCGCGTCCTCAGCCTTCACCCTGGGCAGCGCCAGCTCCAGAGTTGTGGAGCCCAAGGGGTGGGACCAAGAGAGGACTCTGTCCTGCAGGGTCCAGCTCAGCGTGGCCAGTGGCAAACTGTCCACGGCACAGAGCAGCTGCAGGGACTGGCCTTTCTTGACTTCCAGGTATAGGTTCTTTCCCCTGGGCTCCAGAGCTGCAGGGAGAGAAAAAGAAACAACAAGAGAAAGACCGCGGGGGGAATCGCCACCCCCCCCCGCCCTCCTGACACCCCTAAGTGGCCCTCGGTACCTGGCTCATCGGTGTCGGAGATGCTGATAATCAGGTCTTTGGGGGCATCTGTTAACAGGATTAGGAGTTGGCTTTGGGGAAAGTGAAAGTCGCTCAGTCGTGTCTGACTCTTTGCGATCCCACGGACTGTATAGGATTGTGGAATTCTCCAGGCCACAATACTGGAGTGGGTGGCTTTTCCCTTCTCCGGAGAATCTTCCCAACCCAGGGATCAAACCCAGGTCTCCCGCATCGCAGGCGGATTCTTTCCCAGCTGAGCCACAAGGGAAGCCCAAGAATATTGGCGTGGGTAGCCTATCTATCCCTTCTCCAGTGGATCTTCCCGATCCAGGAATCCAACCGGGGTCTCCTGCATTGCAGGTGGATTCTTTATCAGCTGAGCTATCAGGGAAACCCGGCTTTGGGGAGGAATGATACATTCCCCACTGCCAGAGAGCATCCCCTCAGGGAAAAGAAAGTGTGACAGTCCCCCAGGAAGACAAGCGACTCATGAGTGCCCAAGACGCGCTTTTGGACAGAGGACCGCATGGCAGCCCCCTTTCCCTCCTAAGGCCGAGCCCAGCATCGCGAGACTCCGCGCCTTCCTCCCCCGCCGGCTGCCAAGAGCTGTCGGTCATCGCCCGGCCGCCTCTCTCCACCTCCCCATCCCCCGAGCCTGGAGCGCACCCTGACGTCCTTCCCTCCCTTGAAACTCACAGGCCACGCTAAGCCGGACGGTGTTCTGCGTGCTCACACCCTCTCCGGAGAAGTCCACTCTGCAGGTGAGCTCAGTGTTGTGGTCCTGGGGTCTGGGTGTGAAGGTGAGCTCTGAGAAGTAGGAAGTTCTTGGGCTGGCCCCGTTGGCGGAGACGGTGTTCCCGATCCAGGAGAGAGTAGGGACGGGACATTCATCAAAGATCCAGTTAAATGCACAGAAGAGCGTCACCTGGTGCCCGGGCTGCAAGATCTCGGGGACATAGATCGCCGGCTTCTGTGTCAGGGCTGGGATGGACCAAGAGAGGGTGGGATGCCAGCCCCAGATTGGGGGTACTCCGGGGGGTCACCCATGGTCTGTTCTCTACAGCCCCTCCTCAGTGTGGGAAGGTGGGGGAGGGGTTCCCCCACCCGCCCCATTCCAGCTCCAGCCAGTTCCATACCTGTCACCTGCAGATAGAACTTGTATTCCATGAAATTATATTTCACATAATCGCCTCTCTCGAACCGGAAGAAGTACAGTGAGGTGTCCTCCAGGTGCGCCTCTCTGATGAGCAAGGAGCAGCTCTCGCTGGGATCGCCAAGGAGCTGGAATCGGCCCTGGGTGTCAGTGTCCACGCCCTGACCTGGCTTGTTGGTGGCCACTGGCAGACTGGGCCTGGGGCTCTGGTCTCTGAACCAGAAGCCGTAAGCTGGGGTGGTGGGACTCCATCCTCTGGAGGGGTAGAAGATAGAGCAGGGCACCACCACACACAGGCCTTCTTGCACCATCACAGACTCCTGCACCTGCAGCTTGAATAAGTCCAGAGCCTGCGACTCTATGGGAGAGACAGAGGTTCAAGCTGCAAGCCCAGCCCCGACCCCCAACCCGGGCCCCTCCTGGCCACCCCCATCCACTCACCGCCCCACAGCATGGCCAAGAACAGTGGCAGCAACATCTCAGGCACTTGGACGTTCCTGGGACACACTCATTCCCCAGACGCTTTGACGGGCAGTGGGCAAGGGCAGAAGGCGGAAGCTGAGCCCTGGGGAACTGATGCATAAAATGAGCTTCTGGTGCACAGACCCACACGACTCTTTTTCCTTTTCTGGACTCTCCCTCCCACCACCTGGCGCCCACTTGGACTCACTCTTTCCTGGGGGGCTCACCTGGCGTCTGGGCTCCCTGAGCTGGTCACCTTTCCCAGTCATCTCTGCGGGAGGGGGTGGAGGGCATGTGTCCAACCTTGGGGCCTGGCTTTGGGTGGGTGGAGGCTGGGGGCTCTCCTACTGGACCCTGAGTCATTCGGGAAGCAGAAGTGAAAGTCCCCAGTAAATCCTTCCAGGGGCCCCTGGTGTCTGCAGTGGATT